TGACGACAAGGCAATGGAGGACCTTCGAACAGCGGCCCGAGATGACCCTTCCTACGTCCGACTCGTCGAGTGTGTGAGGAATGGATTTCCTAGCAACCGCTACGACCTTCACAACACCCTGCTCCCGTATTGGAAACTCCGCGATGAACTCTACTGCGACGGGGACCTTATTCTGTACGGAGCGCGTGTAGTTGTCCCTGATGCCTCACGTCCCCACGTCTTGGCTCGCCTTCACGACAGTCACCGTGGAGCTGAGGCCACCAAACGACGTGCACGACAGACTGCGTTCTGGCCCGGCATCGACTCCGACATCTCCAATGTTGTCCATGCGTGTGAGCCCTGCCAAGTATTACAACCCAGCCAGCAGCAGGAACCCTTCAAGAGTGACGACAACCCCACCCGCCCCTTTGAGTCTGTGTCGGCCGACTTTTTCTGTGTGTCAGGAGAGTCCTTCCTGGTTATCGTCGACCGTCTCTCTGGTTGGCCGGTTGTCATCAAGTGCGGTAATGACACGACGTCTGCCGCCACCATCAGCAAGTTCCGCCACTACTTCCGTGACGTGGGCGTTCCTGTGCGCCTGCGAACCGACGGAGGGCCCCAGTTCGTAAGCCGGGACTTTGCTGTGTTCCTTGACCGAAGGGGAGTCCGGCATGTGTTGTCATCGCCCCATTACCCGCAGTCCAACCGCCACGCTGAGGCTGCTGTCAAATCCCTGAAACCCCTTATCCACAAAGTGGCCCCTTCTGGGAATATTAACTGCGAGGCCTTCGACCGGGGTCTTCTTGAATTCCGCAACACACCTAACTACACCGGACGCTCCCCTGCCCAGGTCTTGTATGGACGCCCCCTTTGTTCTTGTGTCCCTGCTCACCCTCAATCCTTCTCCAAGGAGTGGCAGGCCAAGACAGAGGATTGTGATCGCCGAGCCGCCGAACGTGTTCATGATGTCGTCGCCCGCTACAACGACCACGCCCATCCTCTTCACAAGTTGAGTGTCGGCACCCAAGTCCGTGTTCAGGACCCGACCTCCCTACGTTGGGACAAAGTGGGCGTAGTCATGGGTCTCGGTAGGTCACGGGACTACCAGGTGCGGTTACCCTCGTGTGTGGTGGAGGAACCGCCGTTTTCTCCGCCCCGTAACAACGCCTTCTGCTGACCCCGCCACCAGTGTTGAGTCCCATACTCTTCCAAGTGATCAAGTCCCAAAGACGCTCAGAACGGATCCAAAAGAAAAGGTCCGCTCAAGACTTTGCTATGAGCGTATAGGGGGGGAGGGAGGTGTATGTATATTATGTATGCTGTATGTATATTATGTATGTATATTATGTATGTGCTCCATTTATATACATTATTTATTCAGCCTAGCTAGCAGCGTGTGGCAATGTATTTACCATGTCCCACACGCTTAATTAATGTGCCTGGCGACATATGGAAGCTGCTAATGTATCACTTGCCACATGTCGCCTGAAAGGCTAGTTGACCCCCCAGACAGAGTAAGGAGAGCCGCCTCGCTTGTGTATCTCTGTTTGTCCAGTAAATGGAACCTACGAAAACTCTACAGGTGTTTGTGTTCGCTCCTGTAGATAGAACTTGATACCCAGAACATATACACATATGAAGAAATCACTGATGAACTGAGAAAACAGAAAATAAATTCTTTGATGCAAGGTCTTGACCTGCAGAAAATCATGCTCACTGATAGCAAAATGTTCACGGTCGTTTACAGAGGGTGACTGTCAATAAGTGTATGGTTATTGCTGCTCAAAAACTTTGTCCAGATGCAGTGAGGAAGTTTGAAACATCAGTTTGAATCGCATGACAGTGCAACATAGAATTCGTGATTTATCAAGTGATAGACCAGTTGAATGAGAAATGGAATAACTTTGTGTACTTTTCCGTAGCTGCTGACGAATCGGCTGATGTAACATCTACAGCTCAGCTATTAGTTTTCGTAAGTGGTGTAACAGACGACTTCACTGTTCATGAAGAACTTGTTGGTCTCCGTTCTCTGAAGAGGTAAACTAAGGGGAGTGACTTGCTAAGTGGGCTTCTGGAGCAAATTAGCACTATTGAGTTGAATATAGACAACTTACTTGGCATAACTGATGGGGCTCCTTCGATGATTGGTACGGTACACACAATGGTATGGTGCCACTGTTGATCAAACACCTGGGAAAGCGCAAAAATGAACTGATACAGTTTCACCGCATAATACATCAACAGAATTTGTGTGGGAAAGAACTGAACTTTGAAAATGTATTAAAAATTGTAGTTTCAACAGTTAACTTCATAAAATCGCGAGCTCTGAACCATCGCCACTTCAAGCAGTTTCAAGAAGAAAGTGAAGCTGAGAATGGTGATCTATTGTTTTTCATTGAAGTCAGGTGGTTAAGTCTGGGAAATACACTGCAACGATTTATCAACCTCCTGGATGAAATAGTGATATTTCTTAATGAAAAGGGTGAAGTGGTTCCACAGCTTGAAAATGTGGAGTGCCTTTGCGATCTGGCATTTCTTGTTGATATCACCAGTCAGTTAAATAACTTGAATGCCAAACTGTGCACATTAAGTGTAACATTTTTGTATATATTTTTAGAAACCTTTTACAATGTTCTCTTTCTTATGTGATAATACTGAGGCTGGAGAATAGGTCCTACTTAGTTCTTCTTATATCATAAATGGCATTTAGAACAGTTACTGCAACTTGTTGTCTCTCCTCTACTAGTGACGGAACATTAGCTGCAAATATATGAAAAAAAAAAAATATGTTGACGAGACCTGAAAATAGATTGGATTCCAGATGAACCTTCTTATTTTTTTATAAAAGAGTTCAGGAAGTATAAATGTTAAAGCCGTAGATGATCTGTCATCCCCTGGCATCGTGGAGAGTAGCTGGAGTTGTGAAGGATCGTTGATGGTCAAAAAAAAAAAAAGTTCCAGTAGTTCTCTATAATCGTATATTGCCTATTTCTTGTGTTACAACATTTTCTTAGCAAACTCCTAGTTCCAGGTTCCTTGACGATTGTGAAGTTGTCTTATCTAGACATAACTCTAATCCAGTATATCTTGTCTGCCTGTTGGATAATCCAAGCAGTCATAAAAGCGTGCACCAACATGGTATCTTGGATATGACAATAACTAGCTGTGTGGATCACGTCTCCATAAGTTTTGCACCATCAGTATTTTAAACCTCAGAATGAAATCTGATTTTGCTCATTGAGGTGTCCAAGCCACAAAGTGGTCTTGCAAATCCCAGGCTTAAGCACATCAGAGGTGGTACTCAGTCCCCCCTCTATACGGAATTTCGCCCTTACGGAACTTTGAAATTTAGAAAATTTTCGGGTTACAGAAAAAAAATCGCCCTTGCAGAATTGTAAAAAAAAAAAATGTTAAAAACGAAATTGCGATTTTTAATCGACTATTTTACAAAAAGAACGTAAAATTACTTTGTGTGGGTGTATCTGTGGTAGCAAAGATGCACCAACGGTCCCACAATATCAATAACCACAACAATGGTTTTTGTCTCTGTATTACAGGTATTGTACTATGAAGATAAAAGATTCAATTGAACTTGATGTTTTAAGGAGGTAACTCCCAGTAACTGATCACACAACCTCACCCTGCAGCACTCAACATCGTTTCTGGAAAAAAAAATCGAGTGTTTTGTTCGTTTATTATCGTGTTACATCATGAATGAGTCATTGTATGTGGTTAAAACCATCTGATTTCATACGTATATAGGCTTGTGTCATGTTTTTGGGCCTCAAAAATTTCAGTAGAACTGTATCTTAGCTTTTATAATGTAATTATATTGGAAAAATGGTTTCTCGTTACGGAAATATTTTCCGGAATGGAACCCTTCCATAACCCGGGGGATGCCAGTTCCTAGTTTTACTCACACCCAGTCACCAGGAAAGGTAATACATATTTTTACTTTCTTCTTAGAACTTTAATGTTCAGAGTAATTTTTTCTCCTAATGGGCCTTCTTGTACGGTGACTGTCAAGATGTTGTGTCTATCAATATATCAAGTTAAACCACTTCTTATTTTGACTTCATCTTTACCTGTACCATATTGTATCTATGATCTCTCTTCCTTGTTTTCTCCCATTATCTAAATGTATATTTCGATCTCTACATAACTTCACCTGTCATCTGCACTATTGTATCAGTAATGCCGTTTCATTCGTCCGGCAGACACGTCAACAGTCATCCGCAATATTCCACTCGAGTTTTTGCTGCCACCTAAAATACAGGAAGCTAAATTCTACCGTTATCGTGGGTCGTTCACTACCCCAGGTTGTGATGAGACGGTTGTGTGGACCATCTTCAAGAAAACCATTCCCATCTCTTTAGCCCAAGTAAGCCATTTTACTTTTGTGTTTTTTAAGTGCAGATAGGTTATAAAGAAGGCCAAAAGGCTGGTGGTACATCACAATCTAAGCTTATATGGTCATGTTATCCATTGGTCAATATCTTCCTCCACATGTGTCGACTGGCTCTTTGCCTCCATTAAGTATACTGATTGGTTATTTGTCTTCAAGCAGTGCGCTGATTGGTCTATAATCGCCATTAAATGCACTGATTGGTCCTTAGTCTCTAAAAAGTGAGCTGATTGGTTCTTAGATTCCATAAAGTGCATTGACTGGTCTTCACTCTCCATAAAGTGCGCGGATTGGTCCTTAGCCTCTACAAAGTGCGCTGATTGGTCCTTAGTCCCCATAAAGTGCGCTGATCGGTGCTTAATCCCCATGAAGTGCGCTGATTGGTCCTTAAAGCCACTTTTACTAATTTAGCCTAACTTTAAGTTTAGCTTCTTTGTGTAACGGGAGGGACACTTTAGAGTACATCGTGGTCGGCAAAGGAAAATCAGTGCATGTCATGATGAACAAGACCAATTAGTCCACGTCACGATGAACACGAACCAATCAGTCCACGTCACTATGAAGAAGAACCAATCAGTCCACGTCACTGAACAAAAACCAATCAGTCCACGTCACGATGGACAAGAACCAATCAGTCCACGTCACGATGGACAAGAACCAATCAGTGCACGTCACGGTGAACAAGAACCAATCAGTGCACGTCACGGTGAACAAGAACCAATCAGTACACGTCACGGTGAACAGGAACCAGTCAGTCCACGTCATGATGGACAAGAACCAATCAGTCCACGTTACGATGAACAAGAACCAATCACTTCACGTCACAGTGGACAAGAACCAGCCAATCCACGTCATGATGGACAAGAACCAATCAGTCCACGTAATGATGGACAAGAACCAATCAGTCCACGTCACTGAACAAAAACCAATCAGTCCACGTCACGATGGACAAGAACCAGTGAGTCCACGTCACGATGGACAAGAACCAATCAGTACACGTCACGGTGAACAAGAACCAGCCAGTCCACGTCATGATGGACAAGAACCAATCAGTCCACGTTACGATGAACAAGAACCAATCACTTTGCGTCACAGTGGACAAGAACCAGCCAGTCCACGTCATGATGGACAAGAACCAATCAGTCCACGTCACAGTGGACAAGAACCAATCAGTCCACGTTACGATGAACAAGAACCAATCACTTCACGTCACAGTGGACAAGAACCAGTCAGTCCACGTCACGATGGACAAGAACCAATCAGTCCACGTCACGATGGACAAGAACCAATCAGTACACGTCACGGTGAACAGGAACCAGTCAGTCCACGTCACGATGGACAAGAACCAATCAGTCCACGTTACGATGAACAAGAACCAATCACTTAACGTCACAGTGGACAAGAACCAGTCAGTCCACGTCATGATGGACAAGAACCAATCAGTCCACGTCACGATGGACAAGAACCAATCAGTCCATGTCATAATGAACAAAAACCACTCAGTGTATTGATGTATATTTAGGTCGGTAAATTTTTGTTGATTGAATGGGTTGAATTTATATTTAATACAGGGTGATGTACTCGCTGGTAGCCTACTGAAGGGAAAGGTTCTCCAAAATAAGCCTGGCACTGTGGATGATCTCCAGGCATAGATAACATTGTCTTGTAATTCTTACATGACAACTTAGCTGCTCTTTTTACAATATTTTTTTTTCATGTTTTGATTATTTTAAGCTACTGTATATAATATTTCGACGCAAATCGATTTGCGTCGAAATATTTGATACGTACTGGTGAACACCCATGTCGGATAAACCTGCTACCGAAGATATGTACAGTCTCTTCACAAGTGTATTTACAGGGGCTCGTCAGGTTTTGTGCAGTGTGGCAGCACTGTGTTTGTTTACATTCGATAGAAGGAAACTAGAAATAGTTAACATAATATGGAAACAAATTAAGACAATATTAAAACAAATATATGAAAGATAATGATTTATGGAATGTTTATATGCTGAGCCTTTGTAAACTGACTTGTGAAAGGGACTGTACGTGATGGAATTAGCAGCTGTGAGGCATTTTCACGTTATTTCTGTTACAGTATTAGTATCCAAGGATGCATGTGAAGATATATTTCGTTAATATGAATGGTGGTAGCTTAGATGTACGCAGCTATAGCTGCTGATTATGTTTCCTCGGTATTCAGGTAGACTTTCTTTATCAACAGATCGCCGAATTCCGGAAGATGAAGGAAGCGAACGGGAAACATATAAAGAGGAATTTCCGTCCAGTACAACTCCTCAATAGTCGCACGGTAAGTCACACCTTAGTATATATAACGTAATAATATAAATTGTGTGTGCGTGTGTGTGTATTGGGGAACCACATCTCATTTTAACTATATACATTGGTATATAGTTAAGTAATGTATATTTACTCGATTATGAATATTTTAATGTACATTTCTGTCTTTGATATATTTTAATTTGGTTGTGTTATGTTACTCTGCTTCTGTTTCCTTGTATTAATAGAAGACTTCAGTGTGTGTGTGTGTGTGTGTGTGTGTGTGTGCCCATGTTTCAGACACACCTCCACCATCCATCCAGCTTAACGGTACTACCCTCTCTAACGTTACCCACTTTCGGTATCTCGGCTCCCACCTGTCCACCTCCGCAGATATCGATGAAGAGATTCAACTTCGGATCAGATGTGCATCTCAAGCCATTGGCAGACTCCGAAACATGGTCTTCAGCTGTAGGGAGGTGAAATTATCTACAAAGCTGCACGTATATCGAGCTGTGGTCCTCCCCACCCTCCTATTTGGCAGTGACACATGGGTCACATACAAAAGGCATCTCAGGGCAATTGTAAATTTTCACCTACGTAGTCTACGTTCCATTCTCCGTGTTCGCTGGAAAGACAAGAGAACAAATGCCAGTATTCTTGCTGAAACCAACTGTAGGAGCATCGAGGTTACCATTATCCATGAACAACTACGTTGGACTGGCCATGTTACCCGCATGGACGACAGTAGACTGCCAAAGCAGCTACTTTACAGTCACCTAACGAATAGTAAACGTAACGCCGGCGGGCAATTGAAAAGGAGGAGCACCACACGAGAAGGTGTCAATACTTTCGAGTTAGCCTGACTGCAAACCGAGGCAGACAAGCGCTAACGCCAGAAAGATGCTGCCACCACCCCTCCCGAGGCTGCGGGTCCCGTATCGGCCTCTTTAGTTACCTCAAAACTCACCAACCTAGGTTACATACCTAATAACTCATATCATTGTATGATAGCTGGATGATCGTCATACCCGATTCCGAGTGACAGCAAAGTAGTAGCAGTAGAAGAGTGTGTGCGTGTGTGTTGTGTATGAGTGGAGAGACGGCTGATGAGGCTTGTTATTTTCATCTGTTTGATGGCAGTAGCTACCTCATCCAGGGATGAAGGATAGCCGAGATGTGTCAGCTCTGGAGGCTGAGGTAGTCCGGACATTCACATCAGTGTTTTAGTTGAGCAGTGAATGGTAGTGCTCCTTCCAGCGCTGAAGGAGGCCTTCATCGTCTTTAATTATGGAGTTACCGTCGGATGAGCCAAGATGGGATGCGCCACGATTGTTTGGCTGATCTACAAATTTTTGGGTTTCACATGCTCTATTTTTAAACCAGTCGTTCTTTAGATTGCGAAGTTCCCGCTGGGCCGCCGCTTTCTTCTTGCGCAAGGAATCCGCCTTGGTCCGAGATTGAAGGTTGTTCTGTCAGTCAGTTAAAGCAGCACGTTTATCATCGACGAGTACATTTATTGCTGGGTTATTTTCATTAAACTAGTCCTGGTGTATTCTTTCCATTTGGCCGAGGGTCTCTCTGCAGGTTTTTGTCATGACAGTGTCGAGAATATCCCATTCGGCACTGGGGTTTGGGTTGTTTATCAGCCTATGTTCAAGCTGCTCTCTGAAAGCATGTGCTACCGTTGGATTCTCCAGACACTTTGTGTTAAAACCTCTTCTGGAGCTTGCTACCTCCGCCGTTGTGGGGCGACGTGGAGTGAGAGCTTGGTTCTGACAAGCCGATGATCAGTGTTATAGTGGTCTGACCCACGCATGGCACGGGTGATGAGAACATTTCGGTCATCTCTTTCTAACAATGAGATGCCAGTGTTTGGATCGTAGGTGTTTCCATGAACACATGAACTTGTTGTCCTGCCTAAACAAGGTATTGGTGATGGTGAGGTTGTTGCAGCACACTTGCCTAGGAAGTGTAGGCCGTTAGGATTGCACTTGCCTAGTCCATTTCTCCCTATGGTTCCTTGCCAAATGTCAGCATATCTACCAACTCTGGCATTGAAGTCACCAAGAAGCACAACCTTATCTTCTCTGGGGATAGAGGTTCGCACTATGTCGAGGTCTGCATAAAATGCTTCCTTGATGTCATCCTCTGCATCCATAGTTGGGACGTATGCACTGATGAGAAAGTCATGACGGGGGTGATTCAGTGGGAGTCGGAGCGTCATGAGGCGCTCGTTGATCCCAATGGGCATTATTACAATTAGCCTGTGTAGGATGCGTTGGCGGGTGGCAAAGCCAACTCCATAAATGCGGTTTCTTCGCAGCAGGCTTACCCTTCCAGAGGGTATAGCTAGACCCTTGTTCTGTGAGTTGACACTCGTCTGGAAGCCGGGACTCACTAATGGCCGCTATATCGATGGTACTGTATACCTAGCCAGCTCTTTTACCATAAGGGCGGTTTTCAGGACGCTCCTTTGTGCCAGTATCCAGAAAGGTCCTGACATTTCATGCAGCGACCATTAGAGGTAGTATAGTTTGTTTTTGGTTGGATTCGTGATTTTGATTGTGTTTTCGACTGCATATATATTATTGTATTGTATTGGAATGTACAGTGCGTAATTCATCTAACGTTTAATGTATTCGTTTATTTGCAGGTGTACGCGTCAGAAAAGGTCGTCGGTCATTAGAATTCAAGACAATAGTTTCGGTTTTATGAAAAGGAATACTACAGTTTTATTGTATGTCTTCAACATCTCCTCACACAATTAATGCACTGTCACCAACACCTCAGACACACTCATTGTACACCCAAACCCACAATACCACCCACTCGCATATCCTAGCCTTGCACCTTCACACAGTCACCAAATACAAATGCACCCCCCAACTACATATGCATCACCACCCAAACTATCACCCTACACAAACACACTTCGATATACCACACACATAACAATTTATCGTAACATCAGATATTTGGCCAAATTGGTCCTTTTCCAAATATATCCCAATGTACAGCACAGTACCAATAGACACTACATCAAACAGTGTCGGTTTTCATAGTGGATATTCTAAATGTTCTGCAGCTGTAATGGCGCTAACTGAGGACTAGATGATTCTAGTGCTATAGACCCCGCAATAATAAAGCTCAGATAATTATGTCAATATTTTTTGGTCACTTTGTCCCCTTCTTTATACAATAGGTCTTTGGTTGCTTCAAAAAGGATTTTGTAATTTCTAGAGCATTAGCAGCAGATATTCATAGTAGAAGAGCTGGTCACCCAGCTTTTGTTTTGTTTATTATTTTACTCGAGGAAAAGCTTCATTCACTGTTGTAAACCATCTGCTGTAATAAAATGTATTCAGAGCTAACAGACATTTTCATATTCAATAACATGGTGGTGTGAACGCTAGGAGAGTGGTGGACTGAATAGGAATACAAATTGTGGGTAGAAACAAGGGCGTAATTGGCAAGCAGTGTAAGAAGTGACTACGGTTATTTGACTATGAGGAAATTAAGTATTGCAATCGTCTATTGAATGGGGAGTTTGACTGGGACATGGGCAGCCTAGAAACAGTACAGGCATCATGCCAGAGGATTAAAAATGATGGGTGAAGAAAACTGTTCACACATGAATGGAAAGGCCGAGGTGACTAATGCAGTTATGATGGAATGTATTGCTTCATCTCACTGGTTGACGAATGTGATTGTGAATAATTACAAGGTGATACATTTGAACGTGGAAACTAGAGGGGTGTGAAGCTGTTGGATCAGTTAGAAAGAACGACTGAGAAGTAGATAAGGAAGAGAATGGAATTAAAGAAATGCTGTTTGGGTTCGTGCAGCAGGGTGACTACAAAGGCAACATTCAAGGTCACGCAACTACAAGAAAAATATCTAGGGAAGGGGAGAAATTTTACTTTGTATTATAAACTTAGATAAAGCATTTATCATGATGCCTCGTTAGGTAGTATAGTGGGCGATGCAAAAGTTAGAGTGATTATGGCATTGTATGAGAATTATAGACCCTATATGCGAGTAAGTGGCGAAATTTTTTTAAGGTGAAAATTGGGGGGTTCAATCAAGGGTCTGTCCTAAGCATCT